TTATGAGCCACAAAGCAATTATTACAAATGTAAACACTTGGGTCCCTAGGACGCTCACTGCTGTTTTTTCACATTGCAACAATGACAATAATGATAAATACTAAAACAACCTAGCCCTGGTGACCAGGTCGTGGTGGCAAGGATAATAACCCACATGGTCAGTGGGAGATCACGGGACAATGACAAAACCCCCCAAAAGGTGTTAGTAGTCAGGTTATACTGAGGAAGGAAAGGGAGAAGTGGAGTGTAAATCCCATTTTAGTGAAGAAAAATTGCACCCCTAGAAAGCAAGCTAGCAGGGGACATGCCGCTGTCTGTGGCAGTCACTGTTCGGTGGTGCTCTTCTTTCTTCTGCAGCTCTTCCATCCCAGATTGCCTGGAATGCATCCATTTCACACCTGAATAGGGCTGTCTCAGGCTCTGTTCCCTGCCCTTGAATCCCCTTCCCCCCTACCTGGACTCCCTGATTGGATCTCAGTGAAAGAGGGTGTGCCTAGTCCTACTGGGACTAGATGTCCCAGGGCCCAGGGTGGGGTGGTATATAAAGGGGGGTGCTCTCCCTTCTCTGAGAAGAAGGGGAGGGGGCAATGGGAAAAGAGCGTTGTAAGGGTGGAACTAGGAGGAAAGGGAGGGGCTGTGATCAGGATGTAAACTGAATAAAAATAAATAAATTATTGAGGAAAAAAAAAAAAAACTCTGGACAAAGATCGGGAAGATGTTTGGCTCCACTGGGATCTAGACTCTTCTCCTCCATCTGCTGGGAAGCTGCTTTCTCCCCATGGATGGCTCCTTAAGAGGGAAGGTGGTACCACATCTCTAAGCTATCAGCCAGCAGGGCTCATCCAAGAGCAACAAACTGAGCTCTCAAAAGAAAATTAGCGAGGCTCCGGAGATGAGACCTGGAAAGGCCAGCCAAGTGATCTAATGCAGATCCCTCAAGGACCCGTGCTGTATACATTCTATTTTTCTGGTATGAGCACTTGTTTTTCAATACCGTTTTAAGTGTTTCAAGTTATTACGATTTCACTGCAACACTTCCAACCAGCGAATAAGCTCTTAATCCACCCTCCCTAAGTAGACTAGAGCAATGCCAAATAAGCTTCAAAGATGTCCATTGAATGCTGGAGAAATATCTTAACCCTTAAAACCCCCGCACCTCCACCTAGACCCTAACACAAGACTTCTTACCTAAGTCATACTGAATTTTCACATTAATGAAGTGGATACCTAACCATCTAGCTAACAGAAGGCTCAGGAACTGGAACTGAGGAGAAGTTTCCAGCAGTTAAGAGCACTCGCTGCTCTGGCAGAGGACCTCAGTTCTGTTGCCAGCACCTACCTCAGACAGTTCACATCCACCTGGAGCTCCAGCCCCCATCCCCAAGGGATCCAACACTGCCTCTGCTTGTACACACATACAGGTATCCATACATACACATAGGTGGACATACATGTACACACACATATATAAATCTTTTTTTTAAGCTGTAGAGATGAAATGAGTTGGTAACGTAAAGAATTCATTGTGTGCATACAGGAGTCACTCATTCAATGTTTGATAAATCTGGCAAACTAGACAGTTGTCTGAGAGAGGCAACAGCCTCTTTGTATGTGTTTCCCTAGCTGATACAGGTGGGTTAAGGTTGATGGTGCAGTTGGTGAGCTCGAAGAGTAAAATTCCACTTGGCATCTAAACCTCGAGTTTGGTCACACCAGTAAATTAACCACCCTCGGATCACAGAAGGAGTACTATTCAGTCTTCCCATTGTTGTCAAAAGCCAGGACTGGAACACTGGCTGGTCGGCTGGTTGCCTGGTCGTAGCAAAGTAGGAAAGAAGAGTGCCTGAAGAGTCCAGTTTGAGGCAGAATCGATAGGGTTTGATGAATTAGCCCTTGGAGAGGCTGAAGGAAAGAGAGTAGAGTCCCCAAGCATCTGACTTGAATGATTAAATACACTTGGATTCACTCAGTGAACTATCTACTGTGTGGTTACTATGGTCTTGGTGCTGTTCTGGGTACAAGAGAATCACTGTCCACCAAAGAGGGGGGATAAAAAGGTCTGTTCTGTGGAGCTTTCTTTCTAGCTGGGAAGACCAATGTAACAAAGAAACAAGGAAAGAAAGTATCGGGTTGTAACAACTCAGAGCAACAGAGTAAACAAAGTTAATGAGGTGGACGGAGTCTTTGTAGCATAGGATGATCCCCTCTGAAGAGAGAGCCTGTGAGAATCCGGAAGGAGATGAAGTCATGAAAGAGGGGGGAGGGGGAGAGCAGGCGTAGAGATTGTGGGGTGGGAAAGGTTTGCTGTATTTGATAAAGAGAGAAAGTCTGTGCAACTGAAATATGGAAAAAGAGGGATGGACTAACTCTAGAGAAGCTGGGGGAGTAAGCAGAACCGGATAGTGGATGTTGAGTCTTGAGAAGCAGATTCTGAGGCAAATATTGAGGGGAATCTCCAGACTGAAGATCCAAGGCTAAGACCTAAATTCTAGAGGTGGCTTCAGAATTGGAGAAAGTTCCTCATTATAGCAGAATTACCAGAGAGTTTCAGAAATATGGATTTCTCAGGCACCCACAATATAGATTTCCAGGTGCAGAATTGCCTCAGACCTTGGAGATCTGCTTCTTTGAGGCCCTCTGGTTCACTCAGTCAGGGATGTTTCTTACCTCTCTCTGCCACATGCTAGCATAAAACTAAGTGCTGGACAGTCACATAAAACAGCACACCATAAATGAGCATTGTGACTCTCACACACAAAAGTAGTCATGCTAATAAAATTCTAGGCAGAAGGAACCATCATGACAAAGGCCAAATAGAAGACTGGGTGTGCTGGTACACATAGAATCCCAGCACATGGGATGCTGAGGAAGGAGGATCGCTGTGAGGGGAGAGAGAGAGAGAGAGAGAGAGAGAGAGAGAGAGAGAGAGAG